GAAAGAGGGAAATGACTCCCCAGCATTATTTCTGCAATCCCTTTTCCTCCATTCTCCTCCTGGGATCTTGGGCATACTCCGTGATGCTGAGGCCACATGGGAAGGTCCAGGTTTATAGCCTGGGTCTTCCTGTATAGCCCAGGTTGATGTACACACCCAAGATCCTTGCTGGCTAAGGCTGGGAATGGATGGTTGTATGAGAACCCTATGGGGATACCTTTCCCCCTCAAATAATAAATAAATTTAAAATATTTTCTTCTTAAAAAAGCATTTCGGGACCAGCAGTTAGTGTAATGGCTATGTCGCGGGACTCCCACGTAGTTGACCCTGGTTCGAGTCCCGGACCTGGTGGCTTAAAACACGCCGGGCGCATGTGCATGCGTGCCCAAGATCCCGAGAGGAGAATGGAGGAGAAGGGATTGTGGCATGGCCATCCCTCCTGGGGAGTGATTTCTCGCTTTCTGTCTCTATGTCTCTCTCTGTCGGTCTGGTGAGCACACACGCCCTATAGCAAAAAAAAAATCTCAAAAAAAAAAAAAGCATTTCATTGTGGGACCAGCAGGTGGCAAGGTGGTTAAAGTGCTGAAATTCTGACATGGCTGACCATGGTTCGAGTCCTGGACCTGGTGGCTTGCTTTCTAACTCTCGCTCTCTCAATCACTCTATCTTTCTCTGGCGTAACTCATGTGAATAATAATAATTACTAATTAAATAAATAATAATTCTTTTTTTAAAAAAGCATTGCATTGCATCCCATAGATACATGCACTTATTTGTTGACTAAACAGCCTACCAGATAAATACTGCCATCCTCTTCATCCTTAATCTTTATAGACATCATAGATTATAGATGCTGAAAGGAGTGTCTATACTTAAATTTACAGATAAATTGTTTTCTTTTCATTTTAAAACTTTTCTATAGGGTATGTGTTCACCAGAGAGAAAGACAGAATGGGAAAAGAGGAAATGAGAAAGTACCCCCTCCGCCAGGGGGGATGGATGTTGTAATCTGTTTTCCTCTGTTCTCTGCTTAGAATTTTGGGAATGCACACACACATGCACCCCATATGTTTTTCAAGCTACCATGTCCTGGACTTGAACCACACAATCAACCATGTGGCATCCAGTCACCTTAAGTATCACACCACTGGCTGGCCCCAGATAAACTGTTTATAAACAAATAAAAATTTCCTTATGAAAACAAAAATGATGAGCAACCCATTATTAAAATAAGTAATGAGGGAAAAATGTGTTATTTTATAAGTAAACAAAATAGTTATGAATTTAAAATAAAATAAAATGACAACGAAAGGTGAAAACATACAGACTGGAGAAAAGTATTTGCAAAATATATTCCTAGGACTTGTATTAGAAAGTCTTACACTCCAATAGCACAGAGACAAATGACCCTTCCTCACTCACCAGGAAGCAGCAGATCAGGCAAATGATGAGTACC